TAACCAAGGGAACCGGATCGCGAAGTGACTCTTTTTCTTTCCTTTCAACCTCTTTGTTCACCTTGCGGAGGTGTTAGATGCTGCCCGGAAGCATACTGGGGGAGCACTGAGATTTGGGGCTGTCAGCCCGGCACGCGGTTGGCCTTCTCTTCATCTAGCATAGCTAGCGTACCTATTGGGCGAGTTGCAAGGTTTAATCGAAGTTGGTTTGAAGGCCCACCGTTCGTTTCGCGAGGCTACTATACGTGTTTCCATATCACACTGTAACTCACTTAGCAGCATGTGATTCGAGTCAGTGGAATATCTATCGTAGGAACGCGTGGCCACATTCTTGCGTCCCATCAAGTTACGTATATCGTTTGGCAGGGCCCTGCAATGATCACCCTTAGCTGGGACTTGTTTCGAGCATTGCTCGACGAATGTATGGACGTGATTTGTGGGGACCCAAATTGCGGTCTCCATATTCCTATTTGGAGTTGATGTTGATCGCCTGCAAGGATGATGGCTTCATTTAATGAGAGGGGGGCTTCAAAGTCAGACCGCAATACAATTGCGGTTGATCTCCACGGGAGGTAGACCAAAGATATTCTAATTGGAGAGTGGGTAGTCATAGGCAGCTGACAGACCAAGGCCTTGACATCGGGCTCAACTCGACAGGGGGCGTATCACCCGGTACACAGTGGATGGATTTTTATGCTATTTTTTCATGACTGTAACACCGCCCGGGGTCCCGGCACGATCCTTCCAAAAGTATTCTATAATTGGAGATGTTCGGATCCCTTGTCAGTTTGTCGCAGTCATTGTATTGAAATCCTATACTCTCTGTCAATTCCACAACTGATAAGGATCTAATGAGACATTATGAAATTTTGAAATCCGTCAAGAGGCTTAGCTTATAGAGCCAATATAGAGCTTAGAGATGCCAAATAATTAATTAGATATGAATGTGTATACATAAAAACATATGTACATATGTACATACAAAAAACTTTAAATGACACATAAAAAAAACATAACCCTCCTTCAGCTGGCGGGGAAAAATAATTAATAACTTTTATCTACACTAATGTTATCCAGAATTTTATTGATTTTAGTTAATACGATTTGTTTACATAAAATAAAGTTTTATATTTTTCGGTGCTGGCGCCAATGAGTGTAAATTTTAAGAGAGGAATCATCACGTATTCAAAAAAGATGAACGAAAAAATCACGAGGAAACGTGCATGTTTACGAAATAATAATTGAAAAAAACATTATAAAATAAGATATGTAAAATCCGTCAATCCGTAGTTGAGCCACATTGTGGACATATATTGGCATGTTAGGTAGTTTTTAAATATTGTGTAGTTTTTGAATAAGTTGTGTATTACCGTTAAATCAATCGGTTCACAGTTTTACCAACGGATAGGCCTATTGGGTAGGGAGGCGGTCGTTGCGCCAGAGGGTGTATTCGATCCCCACTACTGGAAAAATATTCTGTGGTGAACATCATGTTTTTCCACTGTCCCAAATACAGTTTATTATATTATAAACGTAGTTTAAAGTAGTGTCTTAAGCCGACGTTGTGTAAAAATGTGTCCTGTAAAATATTTCTTTTATTTTTTTATTAATTGTAAATTTTGAGATTTACACTTATGAGGTATCTTGTATTACTTGTACTGTATGCACCAAAATATATGTTGTGTAAAACCTATGTTTTCTATTGCAATGATCACATAAAGTTGATACGACATTGAATGTCTAAAAACGGCGAATTTTCTTAAGTGTGTATAGATTAAATTATAATAATAATAACACAACTAAGCATAACACTCAATACCCGGGTTAACTGCGAAAGAATACCAAAAGGCATTAAGTTCGCCCATTGTAATCCTTGTCTAAACTAATTGTAATGAAGTATGAATAAAAAATAAAAATAAATAATTATATTTATTTATCTGAAAAAATTTAACGTTCCCGAACATTTCTATGTATGAGTTTTATCCACGTTTCCTTATCATGAATCAAAAATTGTAAGTGAAAAACGTAAGTGTCGCTACTCTGTTATTTGACCAAAGTATGTACAAAATGAAATCGTAGAATTTGTTAACTATTTTAGAAATAGCAATTCGCTACACATTATTTATGTTGCATAACGCAACAGTAAACTTACTGCTTGTCTCTGTCGATTGGCCATGTTCATTTAATGTTCTAGGTAGTTTGCTTTTCTTTTGTAAAACCTGAAAATTTAATTTCATTAATATCGAGCAATCCACCATACCACGGGGTCCTATAAAATATGATCACTTATTCATCAACGAAGGAATTTCCCCTGCTATAACGACGAAAACCGTAGAGCATAAAGCGAACTTTGACGTACCAACCCTCGCTAGCATGTCACGTAACTCACATTAATTAAATTGAAAAGAAACCGCCCCGTGGGGCTTTACCTTTGTCTCGGACATATCGCGTGTTCTGCTTGAATTACCCCGGCTTTATTGATCTGGTTAAGGTTTCTTCGAAAATAATTTTATTCCATTATCTTTGCAACTAAACATGCAAAGACATGCTCGGTTGTCAAGGTTACTAATAAACTTGCCGTATTGAGCAGCTGTAACCATGTACAACAAACTGTTTGTTACCATATGAAGAAATTTGTTTCAAATCGGTACAGTAGTAGATTTAATGTAAGGAAATGTTTCAGATCGAAACTTTATTATCAATAAATTACTTGTATTAATGAATTTTAGGAAGGAATGGTATCATAATTCTTTCATAAAAAGAAAAAAACCTTTGTAAGTATATTTTACTAAATACTTTCTTAAAATTTCAACGAAATATTGATTGTTTTATTATATTTTTATTTATTATTGCTCTCTGCAATGATGTTTAATAATATAGAATATGACGCATGTCTATACTGCGCGGCGTTTAAAAATTGTTCCGTTTTACATTTGCTATATGACTTATATAAGTGAATGTGACACAAGATACGTTAATAAAATATAATAAATAATAATAAAATATGTTAATATTATTCCTCTTGGTCTAAGAAATAAATCTTAGAAAAACTCTTCGGAAAAGATCAAAATCTTTTCAGGAATATTTCCATGATACGTTCAATGGCAGGCCTGTATAATTTTATTCATATCGATAAAATAAAGTATGTTATGTTTTCATCATCATTGCAACTATAACACTCAACACAAAGCATTGAAAGAAGAAAGCTAAAGACTTGCGCTAATGTTCCTATGTGTAACGACTATATGACACGAGTTTTAGTTATAAAAATTATCTCATGACAGTTTTATTTTCTGGCCCTTCGAGTGTGTACTTTAAGCGTCTTTGATGGTTCATTAGGATGACTGGCCTTTCCTTCAACAGTTTTTTTGGGACACTAACCTCTGTTGAGGTTGGCAGTATCACAACCCGGCTCTGGGCATTTGCCAGACTTTCGACAATGCGTCGCTTGAAATAGCTACAAGCGGAAAGTGTATACGACAGTTTTTCACCTACAGAATTATATTGCTAACAAATTCGTTTCCGGTTTGATGGAATTAGTTATTTCCTATAAGTATTTGATAATTATTGTGACTAACAATTTTTTTTCCATTGATTTATGCGTGTTAACTTTGCTGGTAGTAATTTTTTAGGTTAAATTGTTTTACGGTGTCTATCGGTTGGCGCAGCCACGAAACGAAAGTTTACCCCGTCTTGGGTCTTGGGTTCTATTCCAATAATTATTTGTGTGATATATCGATAATTGATTTGGATTTGCATCTTTTGCCTTTTGATAATTTGCATTTTAAAGATGTCACCACAAGTTTTTCCTACATTAGTAGTATTTCTTATATTTAAGTACAAAAAAATCAACTTCGTGGCGTAGCTATCAATGTTTCAAATTCCTCCTAGACTTTGTCTTTAGCATTTTGGTATATAATATATCTTCGATCATACGTGACATCCAAAAATCTTATTGCAGTCTGATATTCAACCTGATTCAGTATGACAATCATTATTTCAGGTTGAATCTAAAAGAGAAGGCATAAATCAAAAGCAATATTTAAAAGTAATTTATTGATTCAAAACATAAGAGTTTACAATATTATAAGTTGATTGTATATAATAACAACACATACGACAATGCAAATAGCTTGGAATAAAAAGTACCACACTCAAGGTTACATATTACAATGATAGGGAAGGGTATGATAAAACATTTCAGTCACCTTTTGCTTGTTATCCGCGAGAATATTATACCAATAGTTCTCGATTTAAATGGAGGTAACAGAGAAGAATGAATATTTTATAATAATTCATTAAGCTGTGTGAGTTACACAGCTTAATGAATTATCTCTATTTACTTTGAAGTAGTTATAACAGAAAAAAATATAATTATGAATAACCGTCTGATAAAATAAAACTTCCGAACTGTTGTAACAATCATTGAAATACATTGAATATTTAAAAAAAAATAACAGGAAAAATTAATGACTCGTAAAGATATTTGGAGTAACACCATATTTGACTAGATTCATAATACACCATACTTAATAGTTTTATGGCAGCAATTTTATCATAACTAAACCATAGAATTACTTAAAGTAATTAAGTATAATAACGAGATTAATGTCTGAACTTCGTTAATCCCATAAGTTCGAGGAAAATGTTTAAGGAAATTTTAAATATTATGTCATAGTAATTATATTGCTGCAAGCGAGTACAAACAGACGAAGTAAATGTTTCCGATACTTATAAGACTAACAAGGCGTAGAATAAAAACATTGTAAATTTATTTACAATTTGGCTGATTGAATTGAAATAGCAAAAGTTATTCAAAAGTTCAAGTTGACGTAGTTGACGATCTTATAGGTATCTCTATACGTCTATAGTATAAATACGTGGAAGACTTTTGAAATGTTAATACAGCTATTGGTCATTTGAGCACTGTTCAGTAGAAACATGTGGAAGGGTCCAGGCGAACGCTGATGTCGCTTGGACTTGGGACGTACATGACGTCATCGGCCGATGATCGTTGGTTCGTCAGCCATAGCCAGCTCGTCTGTGGCAGCTTTATCGCCTTTCCTTTTCCTTGAGTACCAGAGGAAAGAGGCCGCAGCGAAGAGGTTCACTAATACCACGAACCAGGCCAGAAAGAAGCTAATATGGTAACTGTGAAACAAAGAACTTATCTAAAATCAATAATGCGACATAGTTTCACTGAAGCGATTACAGTATTAGTAATTCAGTTGCAGAGCTTACAATGACTAGACTGGATCAATGCAATCAACTATGTTGATTTACTTTTATTGTACTTACAAGACAAGAATACTACATACTTTTAGTAGAAAAAGTAACAATTTGGACTTATCATCAAATAGTAACAGTTTTAAAGACACGTGTATAATGGTACTGAGCTTTCAGGTCAGATAAGAGAAAAGAACTTGGTATTTTTAATTCAAAAACTTACTAATGGTAGGCACGTTCGGGGTAAACGTATTTGACGTTCTTTCTCATGTGGTCCACGCAAGACATCGTAATTTGTACAACAACAAATGTACATGAAGCTGAAACGTAAACCATTATTAAATTACTTCAGTAATGTATATGCTGATGAAGATAATGCATATGGTGATAATATGTAAATATTTGAAAATAACCTTTTCCTTAAAAATACTTTTAACATCCTAACTAGTCCTTACTTCCTTACTAATATTATAAAGGCAAAAGTTTGTATGTATGGATGGATGTTTGTTACTCTTTCACGCAAATACTACTGAATGGATTCTAATGGAACTTTACAATAATATAGCTTATAGATCAGAATAAGACATAGGCTATAATTTATATACATATTTTATGTATATCTGTCTTTCTGTCTGAATGTTACGCCTTCAGCCTATTCTACGCAGACGTAGTCGCGGGCAGCAGCTAGTCGATTATAATATACAATAGTCACAAAACAAGTCCACAAAGATGTCCGGTAGTACTTCATCTTAAAATTAGGGGTAAGTTTTATTTACGCACACAATATACTTACTACTAATGAAGTGAATGCCCGCAGCAAGTCGTTTGAACATGTATCGAGGGTTGCGGAAGGTGTATGTGGAAAACCCACACCCCATTGCCATTACGAATAAGCTAATGATTCCAAAGGAAACCATTGTTCGTACGTAATCTGTAAAAATCGTTGACAGTATATAAATGTTCACAGTTGTTCTCTTTAAACAATACAGAGAACAAGACCAAATATATTAAAAGACCGAGATTTATCTTCATTCTGTACAAATATTGTTTAAATTTAATTAAGTCTACTGTGTGGACTTAATTAAATTTAACCCTGCAGTTGACGCTGTGCAGAATTTGGTAATTTATTAATATTTTACATCGCTTTGAAAGATATAAACAAGGGATGCGAGTTTTTAATTATCTGTATTTACAGATATCATACAATCCCTTTGTATTGCCACACAACATAACGGTATACTATACGGTGAACGCGTCGACAAAGAGAATTTAAGACTCATACCGTATGGAAGCTCTGACGTGAAATAATTACTTATAGCAATTAGAGCGACTGCCAAATTACATGTTCTGCGTGGGGTCGGAGTGTTAATGTCCGTACTCACTAGCTATATCTATATCATAAGCCGGATCTTCGGGCTTTCCGTGCTTCATAACTGGTTGCGCTAAATAGTTGGTGCAATCTGCAACAATCGATCAAAATATTAGATTTTTTTTAAATCTGATAAGAAATTATTAACAAAATATCAAAATAAAAGAATCGTAAAGTTTATTCATAAAAGTCATTTCATTTTCTTTCTTTAGATATCAATGATCTAGTTTTAAAGTCTCCTTCAAATATAAAATAATTATGTAAAACATTTTCATAAACATATTCAGTACCTAGGAATGCAATGAATAAATTTTCATTATAATGTATCTTAGAGCCGTGATAGCCTCATTGCCCGGGCGCTCGTTTTCAATTAAATATACTCACGTAAACTGAGTTCGATCCACTGTAACCAGCACCAATGAAGTGGTGAATTTTAAGTGATAGCTTATCACCTCCTCAGCGGTAAAAAGAAAATGACTTGAGGAAACAATTTGAAACGCCGCCAAGCCGCAGTGGGATCACTTGCTGGACTGTGCCCTAATACCGTCCGTACAGAGGAGGTTTCTGTTCAACAGTGGGACCGATATAGACTGATACTTTCATTTACTGTAATGTATCTCTATAGATATTTTACAGTAAAGGAAAGTAGGAAATGGACGTCACGACGTACGTTGATGAATCCTAAGAAAAAAATCTATGCATCTATGGATATATTTACATAATTTTTGCGATTTAATAGTACGCGTTACCACGAAAAAGTGTTTGTATGAAAATTCCTTAAATCAAATTATATCTGTTATCTACTCTGTTATCTATTACGTCTCAATCGTAATAGTAACTGCAAGCTGGAATCAATGAATCTTCAGAAAAAATAATAGGGGATTAAACTCAGTGCTTTATGCTATTGAAATTCAGATGGCGAGTCTAGTTCTCAGCTAACAAGATACCACTTAGTGTGATAAAACTAAGTGACATGACAGTGTGCAAATTATTAATAAAAAATAATGTCTAAAGTAATGAATAGAAAGTAATGCTTTTGGAACATAATTACATGAAGCATAAAAATAAATAGGAATTAAATTCTTATCAATATTTTTGTAATCTTCGGTCCTTTCTTCGATTAATTGAACGCCTGTTCCATAATGCTAACGGATATTGAGTGGAGCTTTCAGATGACAGCGCTATTTAGGTCGATGTTGTTTGCTGAGTAAATATTTGTACTGGTTGACTTCGATGCTTAAACCCTTATATAAGTTGTTCTATGAGGTCACGTTGATACCATGGATTACTTTTCTACTTGTTCGTAATGACTATTTCTTTTTTTTTAAACTGACCAAATTCAGCATACATTGCGATGTCTCTTTAATTTTTTGGTTAACTTGTTAAAGATAATAAAACTACTAATTGAAATAAACGAATAAAACTTCAATCGTCCAATGTAAGACATTAATTAATGCTAGAAATAAATCGAACAGTATCCATATAGTATTTCTTATTCTTAAATTGCTTCTACAGCTTTTGAAGTTTAGCTTTCAGTTTGTTAGTCTTCCTTTTTAGCTTTGGAGAGCTTAGCTACGCTAGCTATCCCGGTCCATTATCGGATTTTAAATAACCACGACTATATACAGCAGTTAAACTGTGAAAATTTTGCACCTACATAAATGAATACTACACTTGTAAAGCAAACTACATGCATTCAATTGATATAGTATCTAAGTAACCAGTCCATTACTTCAACCAACCTTACATTTTTCAGGTTCTCCTCTCTGGAGATGCCTGAGTTCCTGACAGAGTCCTATCCCATTCCTCACAGTGTTACACAATAACTAAGTATCTTTCCTTAGGTATTAAAGTTTCAGGAATCGTTCCGGCACTTTGAGAGTTTACACACAAAAACAAATACCTCTATAAAGTAGAATAATACTGGAATTGATTAAAATTATGATAAAATTGTAACTCCTTTTTTAATATTATATAAATAGATTAAATAAAATATTTTTATTGAAAAGAAATTTTATCAGTAATCTTTAATTTGGGTTAAAATAAATTAATCTTAACATTATGTTACGGAAATCCACCGTTCAACATTTTATTACAGACGTTGCTTATTAACCCACATATTATTTGACATGGGGGACCTAGAAAAGCTTAAAAACATTAATTTATCACAATATACAAACACTCATAGTCCAATACGAAGAAGAATGTTCAAATTGAGACCAAAAATGGTGTTTTAGCGTCAGTACATAATACCGCTAAGAAATATATTGAAATAAAGAAAAAATATATAATAAATTCCAAAGAAAGTAAAATATTTATTAAAATTTATGACAACTCCTATTATCGTTATCATTGACAGTATATAATGCCATGTCAACGATATCGTTATGGTTATAAATTAAGATGATAAACTAAGTTAAGGTTCAACATAATTATCGAGGAGCCCATCTATAGCCCCAACGTCGCCAAGACCTAGGATGACTGAAGTAAAAAGTGAAAGGCATTTCTTGATTCGAAAGTTTTAGGATCTAATTGGAAAGCAATCAGATAGAATTAAGGACCTATGTGAAAAAAAAATAGTAACAATATGTATAAACACCAAATAAATCTATAAATATAATCCATTACTTAAAGCAAATTTAAAGATTCTTTGAATTAAAATTTCGGCAGATCTTAAATATTATTTCAATTTTTTCATCTTGCCGTTGTCCCAGCTAGGCGGGATCGGCACAACTGGTGAATCATGTTGTGCCGACGTGGTTTTGGCTAGGTTTTACCGACTTGCCATCTGCCTGACGTCAACCATTCATAGGAACCTAGCTACAGTTAACCGATTTCGTTTATTTTGAATTTGATTGAAGTAATCTAACGAGTAGTGAAGAAGTATCTGAAGAACTAACCTAACAACCATTTGCACTACAAAAAAAAAATTTATAAAATGTTATTTTCCACTATTCAATTTAAAAAAAGTATGCATTTTTTCGTTCATTTCATTAATAATTTAAAGTTTTGTGATACTGACGAAAAACATATTTCAGCCTGACGCACTGCGACTGTCCTGTCTATTAACTGTAAAAACATTTGAATTTGGGTCAATGAGACCATATCATATATGTTATTTTTTTATTCTTTCGATATTCTGACGTTTTGGCTTATAAGCTTAATTAATCATATTTTTAATATTATATGATAAGCTTCAAATGAAGAAGAGTGATAGATACTGTTTGATAAAGACTCCGGTTTTAGAAAAACGAATGGTTATGCTATTATAATCCTCTGCCTTCAAGGGACTTTACATCCCAATTATCTAAAACTGTAAACGTTAAACTAAAGAGAGATTATTTAAGATAAAATAATAATTGTTACGGCCGTCTTTATTTTCTTTATATCGTTATTATTACAACTTTTTTGTTATGATTTACTTTTCCTTTTATTTAATTCTTAATTTTGTTGATGCGCAGCCAAAATTAGAACTCCTACAAACGTGTAAATAAATATGTCGTAACTTTTATTGTCTTTGCAATTGGATTCTGTTTTGTGTAGATAATGAACTGTTTAAAACAGGAACGCTTTCAACTCGACATGAAACACTTTGTGTGACAGTCTGTGTTTATTGATCTTCGTAAGCTTGTTTTGAGGGAGTTGTTAATTCTGAGTAAAATAAACAGTATTATCTTAAAAAATTTCGCTACCATACTAAGGTTGAGCTTTACTATGTTTATTTCTACTCGTACTACAAAATAAAACTAGCATTTAAATAACATCTTTAGTGCCGACTATGATTAAAAATAGGCAAATAAAATATGATTAATAGTGGATCCAGGCGTGAGTGTGAAATTAACAGCACTAACCTTCTAATGCTTACTGCTTAGAAATATCGAAATCAAACATGTTTAATAATGTGCACTTGCATCTATCATGCCGTCACACTGTGGTCTCCAATCTACAATCTGCAAAGCGCGTCCATTAAGATGATTGATTGATGCAAAGTTTCATAACTTCGTTCTATATAGAGGAAGTGGCAGACTAGCAAACAGTAATCTATAAACTTTAAGCAATTATCGTCCGATATGAATCCTCATAATAAATTATAAATAACTCTAAACCTTCTAAGTGGTTTGGCCTTTAAGAAATTTGTATAAAAGTTTAACTAACGATCTAATTTTAATGTCGCGTAATAGTTTTCAATGATAAAATAACTTTTATATGGAACGCTAATATACTAAATATACTTATATATAATATACTTATATATGGAACTCATGTATGTGTAAAGTTTCCAATTTGCAGTGAGTACTAGATATCCATAATGTGGGACACGGTCAATGTCTTCAAGTTATATTGAAAACTTGAAATAGCTCTATGCAATGCATGAATACGTTCTTAATTTTTTAACACAAATGTTAGATAAAAACAATAAAAATTAAAACATAAGAACAAAAACAAAACGTTCGATACCTTATTTACAAAAATTATATAGCAAAAATAAAAAATGGATGAAAACCTGTGATAACGTATGTACTTGTCAAAAATCGAATTCCCACACGGCGAGTTTAAAGGTTTGTCAAAATCGACAAACACATATTTAAGGCGTTTCTTAAATTTAAAATACTTAGTCAAATTTAAGGTTTTTCCACGATTTATTTTGGTTTTAATTGCAGAAGTTTCCAGCATCTTACAGAATTCTCGGTTACTGGACAGAAAAAGTATGCTAGTATTACTGAAATATGGAATTTGTTGTATATTTAAAACATCAGTTGTATCAAATATACCAAATTTCACATATAAGTGCGTTAAGTAGAAAGTCTACGAGAAGACGAGACGAGAGATGTATGAAACGTTTACTGGAAATACAGAGTTCTTTGCATTAGAAAAACGCTAATAAATATTTTTGGTAAAATCAGTAATTTTTTAAGACTACAGAAGTTTTACATATTACGTGATAGATTAAATATCGCTAGTCTAAAAGTAATAAATTACCTATGACGCTGCCAACATTTTTCTATAAGACGCAACATCTGGTAGCTTATATTTCAGGCAGCGTTTAAAGTATGCTTTTTCCTAAGTTGTTAGAGCATGCGTGCCGTTTTG